GAGGAGCCTCCCAATGGTCCTGGAAGGCAGATCCAGACCCTTGGGAGGCTCCCCCCACATCCCCACGAGGCTAGTGGGGGTGAAATCGCCAGCTTCGCTCCATAAGACACACAGACTTCCCCCACACACACACTTTTTGGTGCATCTTATAGAGCAAAAGATACGGTATTATTTTTAGGATTTTGACAGATTCAATCTTGAAACAGTTCTATCAATATTCCATTTACCTCTGGTGATTTATTCATCTAATTTCAGAGAAACTTCACTTTCTAAAATTGCAGGTTCTTTATCATGGGATTCTTCTTCAAAGAAATCTATCATTATTTTATCTATTATGTACAGTTCTTCAGTGTATTGTTTCCACTTTCTCTTTATTTCATTCAGGTCAGGTAGTAGGTTACCATGTTAGTCTTTTAGCGCTCCTAATCTAGCTTTAAATATCTCTTTGATTTCTCAGATTTTCTGGAAACAATTTCTTGCTTTTCCTCTTTCGTTGTTCTCTTCTATTTGTACTAGTTTACAACGAATGAAGAATCAAAATTTCTATGACTTTCTAAAAGAGCTCCCAAAACAAAAGAAGAGTGTTCCATTTGGCAAGGGAATTTGAAAAGGATTATAAGCTCTCCAAACCCAGCATGCTGTAGGAGCAAAACCAAACCAGAAAACATGTTAATGGAAAGAATTGAGTAAATAAAGTACTGTAAAGTCTTATGGTCCTTTAAGCTAACAAGTTTAATTTGCATAAGATTTTATGGCCTGTTCCTAGCTGAATAGTTCAATGAGTGACCACAGAGGAAAGGTTGTGATTTTGGTTGTGACATTGACCACAGAGGAAAGGTTGTGATTTTGGTAAGTCGTCCTGCTTTGTGAGTCGTCAAATGTTGATGACTCACAAAGCACAAAGTTGTCCCCATAAACTGACAAATAATGAATTTATTTGTCAATTCATGGGAGGTTACTATTAAAAAAAACCTCTCCTGCTTCTCCCCCGCTGCCAAAAATTGTAGAAGCTACTCTATGACTCCCGAAGCACAAAGTTTTCCCCATGAACTGAAAAATAATGAATTTATTTTTCAATTCATGGGAGGTTACTATTAAAAAAAAAAAAAACCCTGCTTCTCCCCTGCTGCCAAAAATTGTACGTAGAAGCTACTCACTCAAGAATGCTTCTGAGTCTTTTTCCTTTAGAGGCTCCAGCACAGAACACAAACAGCTGGTGGAACAACAACACCCTCTTTTATTATCCTGTTACAAGAGAGAAAGTGGTAAGCCTGGATTTGCCTTAGATTAAAGTTCTCTTCAACAGGGAATACTTCAAGTTAGGTCATGGTATCTGAGAGCAGGACAGACTGGTTCCTACCCTGAACTGGAATCTCCCAACTCTGCCATCACTACAGCTTTTGAATCATGCTTGAGGACAGAATCTGTGAAGTGCAAATTGCCTCTCCCCCTCCTTTCAGTCAGCCTGGACTGTGAGCACTGAACAATGTCTACCTAAGTGTTCAAATTCAGCATTGCTTCCTCATGAGAAAACCAATTTTGTGCAGCCAATGTAACCTTTACAAAGGTTCAACTGCAAGAGGAGTCTTAATCTTTTTTTCGGTTTTTTCATTTTTACTGTACGTCTGACAGATACTTTCTAAGGGAGCTCAGCTACATATGAATCATGGCCTCATGTTGCCTGATCGTTGTAGGTATGACTTAGCCCCAATGTAGTCCTAAGGCTCTCAAGCCCCACCGCAATTCCAAGGAACATGAGCGCACCCAATAAACTTTTGTGTTTTGTTCCCCTTGCCTTCCTCTACCTGGACTATACGAAAATCTCATTTCAGTAAGAGCAATTGGACATTATGTGAATAGAATTCTAATTAAATCCGTCTTGATAAAGTCACTGTTTCCCCTCCTCCTTTCTGTTTCTCCCTGCTTCCAAGAGAGCCAAAGGGACAAACAATTGATACGGTACATAAAGCTGAATTGTTTTTGTTTCTCCAAGCCCTTGATTTCATTGTATTGCAGATTGGCAGCAATCTGCCATTTAGAGGGTTTGCTAAAGAAAATGCCTACACGGCCTAGCATGGCAAATTCCTGGATCACAGCCATAGCTGTGACAAGTAAAGTTCTGTTTCTGGAAACTAAGAGGTTTTTCCTCTCTGGATTCTACCAATTGTCCTTTTTTCAGTGGTATTATATGCTTGTCAGATTCTATTTTTCAAAGAACAGAATGAATTTATATCAGTATTTCCTCCTGTGTATGTTCTAGAGCCACTTTGCTTTTGAACTTAATAAAACAATTAGCTCATACAAAACCATCTTGTTGATCAATTATTCTTCCATTATGAAACTGGCATTTGCAATTATGGTTAATTTTTGTTGGTTAATCATAGGCAGTTGTTTTGAACAAAGGATCCATAATCTAATAGAATTGTTCTTAGCAGGATGGTAAGCAATTTCTCACTTCTAAAAGCTTTTTATGAGTTGTCCTTATTTTTTCTGCTTGAATGTAAAATATTTAGAGTTCTGCAGATTCACATGGCTGCTTGCCAACAGCAAACAGCCTTTCCTTCAACTTCCAGCAAGCAAAAGCCTGCTTCGTAAGAAAGAAAGAATCCTCCTCCCTTCTTTTCTTTCCTGAATTACTGGGAAAGAAAGGGAGAGTTTTGTAGAAGGGAGTGGCAGTCAGGTGTTTCATGTATACTTTGCAAAATCCTGTACCTAGAGCAAGCACCTCTCCCTTTCCTTCCCTCCTCTTCTCACCACAGGCCCCCAGGCTTGGAGTCTGTTGTTGCAGCAGTTTTGACAAATAAAGCAGAGCAAAATTTGTAGAGCTCTGAAAGTACTGTATCCTTTCAGTGGAATGTCCTCTTGTTTCTGCCACATTATGTTCAGGGAAGGGTCACCTTGGTGACTGAGAGATGTGACAGTTTCACATGGGGAATAATCTTTGCATAAAAGAGTTGCATATCCTTTTCAGATCTTTTTGCAAAAATGCCCCCAACTTTTTAAGGACAGCTGTGTACATGGGGATGTTGGGACAGGGCTTGTAGGCACACTCACATTAACTTCCTGATTTAGCTTTTCATGGTTTGCACTGCTTACATAGCAGTGCAGACCTTGAACACTGCTGCAGAGACAGAGACATAGCCCAAATAATGTGCAATTGGTGTGCAGTTACAATTTATCCATTATGTTGATACCTTCTGTTCTAGATGTCCCCTTAATTTCTTTTTTCATCTCATGACTACTTTCAATATTTCAGTGAGGGGAGCAACATTATGTCCCAGGTATTGCATTATTTGTCTGTTCTGTTGCAACTATATGCCATTCTGTGAAGAAGTCAGATCTGACTTAACATGCTAATTTTTTTAATGCCAAATCCTCTCCAAAGTTAATAGTTATACCGCATAGTTATACCAAAATTCATAGTTATACTCTGCCTTCACAAGGCCTTTTCTCTTTCCGAGGACTTCTTTTCCAGACATCTGGAGACCACATACACATTCCCTAACATTGGGGGGCTGCTCTCATCTCAGTTTCCCACCCCCACACACACCTCTTCCAGGGGCTTTTACATATACCAATCCCTTCTTCAGGGAAGACTGTGAGACTCTGCACTTTCTTCAGAAGCTACACAGATGGGCTCTTCTACCAATTCCCAACCTCTCTCTCTGCAGTGTCCAACTAACTAAGCTGTGTGGCTAGAGAACAGACTACAGTGGGGTCTTGACTTGAGAACTTAATCCGTATTGGAAGGCGGTTCTCAAGTCAAAAAGTTCTCAGGTCAAATCTGCATTTCCCATAGGAATGCATTGAGAACCACTTGATCCGTATCTGCTCTTTTCCGTCCATAGAAACTAATGGGAAGCTGCTATTCTGCCTTCGACCACTAGAGGGGGATATTTTGTTTCTTTTTTTCTTAAGTCAAGAAAGGTTCAGGGAAGGCAGGGGAAATACAGTCCAGGCAGTACAGTACCAGGCAGTCCGAAGACTGTCTCCCAATCCACTCTCTAAACGCTGGGAGGAGTGAGGAAGCAGACGGGCACCCTTTTCACTGGTCAACAGTTAACTGAAAGTTCAAATTTTGCACTTTCCCTGCCTCCCACGTGGGTTTTTTTCACTTCTTAACTCAAATGTAAGTATGTAAGTCAAGTCAATATTTTCCTATGAGAGTGGTTCTTAAGTGAAAATGTTCTTAACTCGAGCCGTTCTTAAGTCAAGACCCCACTGTAAAAGGTATTTGATGAAAGAGTCAGTGCAAACCATATGGCTTAGTTAACCATAGTTACAATGTTCTGATGCCACTGAAGTGGTAGCATTCTTTACTATCTTTGACATGAACAGCTAAAGAAAAAAGTGAGATACTGTACTGTATTTACTTGTGGTAAGGTTTACTGCAGTTTCCTTGTGGAGAAGGGCAAAGGAGAGGCACCTAGAATCTAAAAATATTTCCAAAAATATTAGTTCCACTAACCATCGCTAGGTACAGTGGTGTACAGTTTATATAACTCTTTGTTTTGTATTAAGTGCCACATGTTTACAGCCTCGTGGCGCAGTGGTTAAAACGCTGTACTGCAGCTAAAACTGTGCTCACGACCTGGGGTTCAAATCCCAGGTAGCCGGCTCAAGGTTGACTCAGCCTTCCATCCTTCTGAGGTCGGTAAAATGAGTACCCAGCTTCCTGGGGGGGGGGGCAATGTGTAGCCTGTATAATGAAATTGTAAACCGCCCGGAGAGGGCTTGTAGCACTATGGGGCGGTATATAAGTCCAAAAATAAAATAAAAATATAAATAAATGTTTATATGAAGAATTTGTGCCTTTATGGTTTTTTGTGGCTTTTTTCACCTGTAGTTTTCTGCATTGCATTTGAGAAAGGTATTTTTTCCTAATGCAAAAATGAAGCATATTGCTTACTGTAATATATGGTGATAAAGACCTTTACCTGCCCCATATACCCCTTATCAAAGAGTATGCTGATGCAGATAACATTTTCATTTTGTTTCAGTCAATAGCTTCAGCAGACATGGATTCTAATCAGCTAGAAGCTTTTTTAACTGCACAGACCAAGAAACCAGGAGGCATCTCAGCTGATCAAGCTACAGTTATTGCAAAATTTTGGAAGAACCACAGAGTGAAAATCCGAGAGAGCCTGATAGATCAAAGCAAGTGGGAAAATAGTTTGAAAAACATGAGCTGGAGAGTGGATTTAAAATCACAGTCAAGAAATGGTGACCAGTTAAACAGTCCTGTGGCAATAGTTGAAATGGAACTTGGGAAGCATGGACAGGTGAGCTATTTTTATCTTGTTTCATCGATGTGAAAAATGTTATCTAAAGATGGGATTTACATAACATGTCAGCAAGTGTAGGGTTTAACAAGCAGAGCTGAAGAGAAAATAATTAAGAAAATGCACAAATTCAGTCTACAAAGATGCACACATATCACCCTGTCAAGCTGTGGTTATTGGTACAAACTTAAAATATTTTGTAGCCTTCTTCAGTCTTCGATTCCCAGATGTTAAATTATAGCTCCCATAATCCTTAACCATTGTGATGATAGGAGTTCACTAATAGTTAAACAGACTCAAGAGACACAAGTTTGAAGACGGCTGGTATGTTGCTCCCATGTTGTATCTTTCCCTCAATGATCAAACTGGTCTGGTAGTTGTGTAGATGGGAGACCATACATAGTCCAAAGGCAGTCATAAAAGATACCTGGTAGATAGGAAAAGTCATCCAAATATCATCCAGTATTTATTCTTCTACAGTACATAAAATGGTTGGCTGTGAGTCCATCATATTACTCACACAGCCTTATCTGATTTCAAAAGCTATGTTACAGTCACTGTAATCCTGTTCCGCAGCCCAGCATGTGCGGTGGGAATAGCTTCAGCAGCAGCAGCAAATTACTGTACTCCTGATTAAAGACTTCCTTTGGCAATTTTGAGACTCCGGCACCTTTATCACATTACTATATTTATGAATCTCATGCACCCTGAAATTGCCAAAGGAATCAGCAGTTTGCCACTGATGATTACATCATTCCCATTGTGTAGGCAGAGCTGCAGAACAGGATTTCAGCCATTGCCTCTCTTATTCTCATCCTTAAACTTGAATGCAGCACAATGCAGCTAGTTGTAAGGGCTTTTAACTGGGTAAGTGCTGTAATTTTCTTTAGCTGATTTAAAATTGTTTAAAATATTTGTGATTATATTCATTCTATTTTATAATTGTATTTGTATTATTTTCCTGTAAGACACCTTGAGTTTATTAGTGGGATGAGGAAAGAATAGGAATAAGATTAAATGAATAATTAAAGGGAGAGATTTCCAATTAGCACTCCTAAGGCTTTTAATAAAAGCAAGGGTTTGGTTTCAATAATCTGTTCCAAGATAATTTAAGCTGCTATTCCTGGTCTAAGTTATGAGGATGCTGCCACTGGTGGTATCTGTATATACAGTGGTGCCTCGCATAGCGAGGTTAATCCGTTCCGGATTAACCCTCGCTATGTGAAATCGTCGCTAAACGGAACGTAAAAGCCCATTGGAACGCATTAAACATCATTTAATGCGTTCCAATGGGCCCTAAACTTACCGTTCAGCGAAGTTTCCTCCATAGCGGCAGCCATTTTCGCGTCCTCGGTAAGCGAGGGGAGGGCGCGAAAACGCTGCGCGCGGCCATTTCGGACGTCCGGTGGCCATTTTGGAACTGCCGAACAGCTGATCGCCCGACTCTGTGGGAGGCTTGGGGGGGGTGGCGGCAAGAGGAGGAGAAGAGGGAAAGTGGGGGGAGGACGTGCGAGTGTGCGGCTTCCCTCCCTTCGCCTGCCTGCCTCGCCGCCTGCCTTCCTCCCTGGGAGCATCAGGAGAAGGATGAGGAGGGA